TTGTAAATGTCTCTTATTGCCGGAACCAGTTGATATCTGTATTGTAAAGATGCCGTATGTACAATAATATGACCACAATGTCAGGTCACATATCTAGCTGGCAAAATACCAGAGTAAGAATCTACATGCTTATAATCAACTGTTGAAAAAAAAAGTTATCCACTCAGTGTGTGTAAAACACATAAAACTAGCTTGGTAATGATCAGGATCATTTACTCTTTCAAAGACCCCAGTACGTTTCTCAAAATGCATTAAGACCACAATTTTATTTTGTTGCCTAAATAACAGCATTGTTTTATTGTGAAGGTCCCTTTCATTTTTAGCAATGTGACCAAGGCAGATTATGTGGTCATTATCACATTGTGGACCTCCTTTTGCGCAAGTTGACTGTAATATAGGAAGCTCTACAATGTACATTTAAAATTATACCCCAAAAAGCATTTCATTGGTTTTAAAATGTTTTGGGATGTCTTGAAGGGTGCCATATAAATTAGAGTGATTTCTTTTCTTTCCTGAGATTTTCACCAGTTTACCTGTTTTTAGCTTGTTGATATGCATTAAATTTTGACTCAGACATAATGGAGAAAGAGATATTTACTCAAATTGTTAAAGCAATTTATAATTTAGTGTGAAATGCTTTAAGGTGGCCTTGAAGAAGCTCGTGGCTGACACAATGTGGGCTAAAATTACAGCACTGATGCGCTATCATAAAAAAAAAACTGATTTGAGAAATAGATTTGAGCATTTCAGCAACTGGGATTATTAGCTCTTGAACTCACCTCCTACTGTGAGCACTTTTCAAATGACGCAGTCAATAATGCTTTCAACAAAGAAAATACTTCACAGAGAAAGAGGAAAAATCAGATCTAAATGTTAATGCTTCATTAAAACTGACCCACAGCTTTCAAACTGTTCTGCATAGCAATAAATGAGTCAGTGTGAAACTCAATTCTTTTCTGTCCTTGAGTCAAAATCCTGAAAACCCTTTCCTAACAGTACTGTGGGTATCCTTACACCCAAGGACTGCAACATTTGAGAAAGCCATTTGTGATGATTATCCACAGCAATTAGGGATGAGTATTAAATGCTGAAATAAGTAAATCTTAGCCAGTGATAATGACAACCTAGTAAGATTTTTTTCAAAAAGACTTCTTTGGTAGTCCCTTTTTACTACCTACGAGAATATGGGTACAGCTGCATGGAATGCTGATCCAAGTCACACACTATCTTTACTTGAGCATTTATCCCTGCTCCTTCATTGCCACCAAGCCGAAAAAAACACCCAACAGTGCTCTGGCATACACTCCTTATGTGGAGACAGGGCGGTAAAGAAGGCGTTTAGCACACTTGCCTTCATTGCTCAGACCATTGAGCATAGGAGTTGGGACATCATGTTGCAGTTGTACAAGGTGTTGATTAGGCCACTTTTGTAGTACTGAGTACAATTCTGGTCAACCTGCTATAGAAAGGATATTATTAAATGGAGAGGGTGCAGAAAAGATTTACCAGGATGTCACCTGGACTTGAGGGTGAGAATCATAAGTAAAGGCTGGTTAGGCTGTGACTTCTTTTCATTGGAGCACAGAATATTGAGGAGTAATAGAGGTTTATAAAATTAAATGGCAAATGGGACTAGTTTAGTTTGGGAAACTTGGTCAGCATGAACGAGTTGGAGTGAAGGGTCTGTTTCCGTGCTGTATGACTCTAATTCAAGAAGGCAGCCAACCACCATCGCCTGAACAGCAACTAGGAACAGACAGAAGATTACTGCCTTGCTAGTGATGGCCAAATCCAGAGAATGAAACAGCAGAAAATATTGCAGGATTATGTTTCTAGAGTCCGACGTTCTCATTCCTGGCACAAAGAACGCTAATTAACCCTCTCATTTTATAGTAGTGTATTACTACCACATTGCTATTCTGCTCTTTCATGCCTGCCCTACAGATAGTTTTCTGATTCATGGTGCCTTGGACTGCATTGTGGCTGTCATCCCTGAAGCATTTCTCCTTGTTCTCAAAGGTAGCAAATGCTGTTGGCCAGGACTAGTGTCTGCAGGACGTTCTTCTCTTGTAAATCTCTGCTACTCAGCTCCCTATATCTCTCACGGCCCACCATTACTTGAAACTGCTTTCTCTTAGAATGTGATGATATTCTGGATAAAACTGTCCTTTAATTCCTTCACCTCCTCTATATTTCAGAGTCTCTCCAACATGCACTTCAGCGCAATGACTTCAGCTGGAGAGGAATGGGATGGATACATCTCCCACACGTTTGCTCAGCACTGTATCATTGTCCATAAATGCCTTCATCTGCAGGCCAGATGCACAACCAGCTCTGCCATATTTTCTTCTGTGATGTTTCCAAGTTATATCATCAGTTTAACTAGAAAAGCTCTACATTTCAGACTGCGCATGTATTTTCCTGGTTCTAGTTTAAGCTATCCTCCTAGTTTTGACAACATAGAAACTAAAACTCACCAATCAACCATCTGCCTTCTTGCCTAATTAATAACTTTGGACTTGCTGTCCGCCATTCCCCCTCTCAAACCATTCCTCATTCTGTATAGATTTGAATAACTCTTCTTCCTTTATTCACCAAATTCCCTGAGTTAATTAAGTTGTCTGAAAAGTGTACTCTGTTGAGCTGAATTTTGTGCTTACATTGTTAAATGTATAAAATGATCACTTTTCATACAGTTTTATGGGCGTGAAGATTCTTTGTTCATTTGTGCAAACTGAAGACAATTAGCATTAAAAAAACTCAATATTAATCTAAGTGCTATTACAAGTAAGCAGGTGACAAGGTCAGATCTATTCCCAGCCACAGACTGCATCCAGAATCCAGAGCACATAAGCAGGTAAAATGGCTGAATGAATTGCACAAATTTTGTGACTGGCTAAAATCAAAGCTAAATTCTGTAAATTGATAGGAACAGTCTTTGTGAGGCTGCAAAAAAATGTAGTTCACAATTACTTAAACTAGCATGGTAGTCCTTTGTCCTGTTACAACGTAAACAATGCTTACCTAGTCATAGTAAGTGTATCTTCCAGGAAGTACTGAGCCACTGGAAAAGTATGTCCTAAAATACCAGAATGATAAAAATTAAGTATTTTTACTTTCACTTAATTATACCATTTTGACTTTTACAATTTTTTTTGTCCTTTGTGTTACAGAACCTGTGAATTCAAATTTTTGTCTTTGAAATAAGAGCTCAGGAACTGTTTGTAAATGTCAGATATATCTTCACAGTCACTTCACAAATAAAAAAAGTGTGAAAGCTGGTGAGCTGTCTTCTTGAACCGCTGCATTCCATGTGCTGTAGATAGACCCACAATTCCATTAGAGAAGGCATTCCAGGATTTTGACCCAGTGACAGTGAAGAAACAGAGGCATGTTCCCAAGTCAGGATGGTGAGTGGCCTCGAGGGGAATTTGTAGGTGGTGGTGTTCCCATGTATCTGCTTCCCAGGTATCTGCTGCCCTTGTTCTTCTAGGTAGAAGTAACCATGGTATTGGGTGGTGGTGTCTAAAGAGCCTTAGTGAATTTCTGCAGTGCAGCTTGTAGATAGCACACACTGCTGCTACTGAGTGTAAGTGGTGGAGGGAGTGGATACCTGTGGATGTGGTGCCTATCAAGAGGGCTGCTTTGTTCTAGATAGTGTCAAACTTCTTGAGTGTTGTTCTGAGGTACAATCATATTCTGAGAAATTAAAGCATAAAACATCACAAGAAGTAGAACGAGCGAGTAAATCACAGAATCATAGAAGTGTTACAATGAAGAATAAGGAAGTGATTCGGCCCATCATGTCAGCACCAGTTCTCAAAATGAGCATTATGACTTGGTGTCATTCTCCCACCTTTTCACTGTAACTTTGCACATTAAATCTATTCAAATAAACACCTAATGCCATATTGATTGCCTCAAATAAGCATGCCTTCATCCATACTTCCAGGCAAACATTTTTTTCTCATATCACATTTGCTTCTTTTGCAAATTATTTTTAAACTGTACCCTCATATTCTCGTTCCATTTAAAAGCAAGAACAATTTCTCCCTATCTACTCCATCCAGACTGCACATGATTTCGAAAATTTACAGTAAATCTTCTTTTAGCCTTCTCTTTTCCAAGGAAAACCAGTCCCAACTTCTCCAATCTATCTTTATTACTGAAGTTTCTCACCCCTAGAATCATTCTCACAAACCTCTTTAGCATCCTCTCCAATGCGTTCACATCCTTGCTGAAACATTGGACCCAGAATTGTATCAATCACCCAAGGTCTAACGAGTGTTGTATAAATTATTCAGTTGATATTTATTTTGTTCTAAAGAATTCATTTTGCAAGGTTCCTGATACATTTTTGAAAGCTTTACTCAAAGTATTCCTTTAAGAATTTATCGGAATCCAGTTCTAACTATACTTCTTGAACAGAATTCAAAAATAAAATTGTTTGGCTGAATCAACATATGTTGGTGTTCTTGCATGAGCGGCAATCTTAATTCTATGTACCTAAATTGCTCTTGAGTTTAGACATCGGTTTTCCTTCAACTACCTATCCTAAAATGTTGGCATTGTCTGATTCAATCACCAATTCTAATACTGGATTTCACAGTCTTATAAACCACTATATACTTACGTTTCTCTCCTTCACAAATCTCTTAAATTTAATATCAGACTAATGTTCCCTTGTTCTAGACTTCTCAGCCAATCTGACTCTATAAAACACATCAGATCATCCTGTAAGACTAGAGTTGGAGTACTGCGTGCAGTCTTGGATTCCAAACAATAGGAGGAATATTGAGGTTATAGAGAGGATAAAGCACTGATTCAATAAGGTGCTGTCTTGTGTCAGGAAATAGAAAAAGTGAGACATTTAAATTGGGGCTCTACATCAAATGGTCTTGGCCAGGAACAACAGTTTGTCACAAAGTAGAGCTCTCTCCATATTGCTTCATAAAGAATCCTACCCTAAGATCAGATACCTTGCAATCAGCATGCAATATTTTCAATTTCCATATCAGTCATCACTTGATCTATCACAGTGAAATTGTCAACTTAGGTTCACAATACACAGTTTGCACCATGGTTGTGAAGAATTGGATTGCAAGAGTCCAAAGTTATTTCAATATCCTTCCAAGTTTAAGATAAAGACTTTGATCTCCAAATGAAAGAAGTCCTTAATCAAACAGACATTTTTCATATTTTTTTCCAAAACAAAGCAGCATTCTCAAAAATCTGTGCTATACCTTCTCTGCTTAAAATCTACGCCTCCTTCTCTCTCACGCTCCTTCTTTAAGTATCTCTTAAAACCTTTCTCTTTGACCAACCTTTGGTCATTTGCCTAAATATCTTGGTTCAGTGTTCAAATTTTCTTCATAACATTCCTGTGAAATGCCTTAGAATATTTTATCATGTTAAAAGAAATTACTGATTTAAAACATCAGATGGTAACTAGGAAAAGGGTAGGTCTACTCAAGGACAAAGAAGGGAATTTACATGTGGAGCCAAAGGAAGTGGGTGAGGTCTTTATTGAGTACTTCACAGCAGTATTCACCAAGAGGTAGGACATGTATTATGGTAGATTAGGGAGGGACATGTTGATATTAAGGAGAAGGAAGTGTTGGAAGTCTTGAAAAACACTAAGGTAGATAAGTCCCCATGGCCTTATGGTGCTATCCCGAGATACTGAAGTAGGCAAGAGAGGAGATTGCTGGGGTCTTGACAGAGATCTTTGTATCCTCTTTGGCTACAGGAAATGTCCCAGAAGACTGGAGAATAGCCAATGTTGTTCTTTTGTTAAGAAGGGCAACAGCAATAATCCAGGCAATTTTAGGCCCATGAGTCTGTTGCAAGGAAATTATTGCAGAAGATTCTTAAGGACAGGATTTACTCGCATTTGGAGAAGAATGTACTTATTAGGGATAGTCAGCACGGATGTGGAGATCTTGTCTCACAAACTTGATTGAGGTTTTTGAGCAAGTGATGAAGGTGATTGGTGAGGGTACGGCACTGGATGTTGCGTACATGGACTAAAGCATTTGACAAGGTCCTTCATGGCAGGATGGTCCAAAAGTTGTATGGGATCCATAGTGAGTTGGCAAGTTTGATACAAAATTGACTCGGGCATAGAAGACAGAAAGTAGTTGGAAGTGTGATTCTCCATTTGGAGATCTGTGACCAGTGATGTTCCACAAGGATCAGTGCTGGGACCTCCGTTCTTTGTAATATATACAGATTATTTGGATGTAGGTCATCTGATTAGTAAGTTTGCAGATGACATGAAAATTGTGGAGCTGTGGATAGTAGCAAGGTTATCAAAGGATACATCAGGACATAGATCAATGGGAATGTTGGACAGAGAAACAGCAGATGCAATTTAATCAGACAAGTGTGAGGTGATGCATTTTTGGGAGGTCGAATGCAAGAGGCAAGTATACAGTTATTGGAGGACCCTTAGGAGCACAGATATACAGAGGGATCATGGAGACCAAGTCCATAGCTCCTTGAATATGACAACATAAGTGGATAAGCCGGTAAAGGAAGCATACAGCATGCCTGTCTTCATCGGGTAGGGCACTGAGTATAAAAGTTTGCAGGTCAGGTTGCAGCTGGATAAAACGTTAGCTGGACCACATTTGGAATAGTGTGCAGTTCTGGTCATCACACTATAAGAAAAATGTGGAGGCTTTGGAGAGGGTGCAAAAGGGGTTTACAAGAATGTTGCTTGGATTGGAGTGTATTTGCTATAAGGAGAGATTGAACAAACTTGGATTGTTTTCACTAGAGTGCCAGACGCTGCGGGGCAATCTGATAGAAACATATAAAGTTATGAAAGGCATGGATAGGATGGATAATCAGAGTCTTTTTCCCAATGTGGAAATGCGAAATACTACAAGGGAAAAGGTTTAAGATGAGATATGTTTAAGGGAGATGTGAGAGGAAAGCTTTTTTCCCCTGACACAGAGATGGGTAGGTGCTTGGAATATGCTGCCAGGGAAGGTGGCAGAAGCAGATACTCTTAGTAAAGTTTAAGAGGCATTTAGACAGACATATGAATAGGCAGGCAATAGACACATACGGACCATTTGCAGGCATATGGAATTAGTTGAGAATGGCATCATGTTCAGCTTGGATATGGTGGGCTGAAGGGCCAGTTCCTGTGTTGTGCTGTTCTATGTATCTTTCATTTCAAACTAAAACTATAGTTTCTTACCCATATTTATTCAATAAAAAGCCTCAATAATTTTCTGTTTAATATATGCCTTTCAATGTCCTGTACAATCTGCTCTGAGGTCGTGGGGAATGGCAATGACAGTAGAGAATGATCACAAGAAGATTCACAACAGCACATGGGATAATTTGCCTCCGTCCCTTCTCTGCTTTGTTACTGAGTGGTCAGGGTGTTATGTTGCTTATGGTGCTAACATTTCCATTTTGGGAATGGCATATAACAAATTCGAATCTTGCTAGAAATGGGGAGAGAGAAGATCTAAACACCTGGAACATACCTTTTATATCATACCTTGAATTAAACAAATAGTTCATACATGTACTATTCATGAATGTGGAACTCATGTAATCGTTAAGAAGTTAATGGATGTAGCTTTAGAACAAATGTTTATGTTATGCAGAGCAATACTACCTGGAATATGAATACTGGGGCAAGAATTGAAGTACTCTGTAAATAGCTGTGCATTCAGAGTTGCACTCATCAGGATAATGCGCAGATCATGCCGAGCCATGATCAGATCCTTCAGCACCAACAGCAAAAAGTCACTACAACATAAACAACATGTATTTAAATCAGGTTAAAACATTAGGTAAAGATGCACATACGAATTAAACAAAAGTTGGCCGTGAAAACAGAGCATAAAAATACAACAAATAATTAATTGGCAAAACTGTCAAAGCTCTCTGCAATCATGGAAAGTTTTCTCACCCCATTAGCCCAACATTTGTGCCAGTGCTAAAAAATCAAAAACTTGATATTTCAATCACTTTACTATCACTTAATTAGAGATAGACCACAGATAACAAGACATACCAAAGAATTATAAGAACCATTTAACGGATCAGTCTGTAAGAATATCTTTCCATGTCCCTCTTTCTCATATGTCCATTTATTTGACGTATCCAATAACATATTTAGTAACACACACAGGAATTAAGATATACCATCATATTATTCTGTGCTATTTCTAACAAAGCACTTAACTATAAAATGCAGAAACAGGCTGTGTATTAATATTTATCACAATATAGGGAGAGGTTGAATAGGCTGAGGCTTTCTTCTCTGGAGTGTCAGAGACTGAGGGGTGACCTTATAGAGGTTTATAAAATCATGAGAGGCATGGATAGGGTGAATAGCCGAGGTCTTTTCCTAGGGTGGGGGAGTCCAAAACTAGAGGGCATAGGTTTAAGGTGAGAAGGGAAAGATTTAAAAGGGACCCAAGGGGTAACTTTTTCACAGACAGGGTGGTGCGGGTATGGAATGAGCTGCCAGAGGAAATGGTGGAGGCTGGCACAATTACAACATTTAAAAAGGCATCTGGATGGGTATATGAATACAGGCATTTAGAGGGATATGGGCCAAATGCTGGACAATGGAAATAGGTCAGGCTGGGATGTCTGGTCAGCACCAACAAGTTCCACGCTCTATGACTTTATTACTCGCACCTCGCCTCTGGAATTCAGCTGTTTTGTCATTGTTTGAACCAAGGCTGTAATGAGATCAGGAGCCGAGTGGCCTTGGCAGAACCCAAACGGGGATAACTGAGCAGGTGATGCTTGGTAGCACTGTTGATGACACCTTCCATCACTTTACTGATGAGAGTAGACTGATGAGGCTGTAATTGGCCAGGGTGGATTTGTCCTGCCTTTTGTGTACAGGAGATACTTGGGGGCAATTTTCCACATCATTGGGTAGATGCCAGTGTTGTATTGGAATAGCTTGGCTAGGGGAGAGGTAAATTCTGAAGTACAAATTGTCAGTACTATTCCTGGAATATTGCCAGGTCCCATTGTCTTTGCAGCATCCAGTGTCTGTCATTGCTTCTTGATATCACATGGAATGAACTGAATTCACCGAAGATTAGTATCTTTGATGCAGGGGACTACTAGAGGAAGCAGAGATGGATCAACCAGTCAGCACTTCTGGCTGAAAATTCCTGCAAATGATTCAGCCTTATCTTTTGTACTGATGTGCTGGGCTCTTTAATCATGGAGGATGGGGATGTTTGTGCAGCCTCCTCCTCCAGCAAGTTGTTCAACTGTCCACCACTATTCACAATTGGATGTGGCAGGACTGCAGAGCTTAGACCTGCTCCATTGGTTGTGGGATCACTTAGCTCCATCACTTGCTCCTTCTGCTGTTTGGCATGCAAGTAGTCCTATTTAGTAGCTTCACCACTTGGACACTTCATTTTCAGGTTTGCCGGGGTGCTGCTCCTGGCATGCCCTCCTGCACTCTCCATTGAACCAAGGTTGATCCCCTGGCCTGATGATAATGGTTGAGTGGGGGATATGCCGAGCCATGAGGTTACAGATTGTGCTGGAGTACAACGCTGCTGCTGTTGATGGCTCACAGTACCTCATGTCCTGAGTTGCTAGATTTGTTGTAAAGTCCGTTCCATTTAGAACAGTGATAGTGCCACACAACATGATACACAGTATTCTCAATGTGTAGCTGGGACTTGATCTCCACAAGGACTGTGCAGTGGTCACTCTTACCAATACTGTCATGGACAGGTGTCTCTGCAGCCAGCAGATTGGTAAGGATGAGATCAAGTAGGTTTTCCCCCTTGTTGATTCCCTCACCAGTTGCTGCAGACCCAGTCTGGCAGCTATGTCAGAAAGGGCCCAAGCAGCTCGATTGCTAACATTGCTGCTGAGCCACTCTTGGTGGTGGACTTTGAAATCCCCCACCCAGAATACATTAAGCCTTTGCCACCCTCAGTACTTCCTCCAAGTGTTAGTCAACATGGAGGAGTACTGATTCATCAGCAGAGAGGGCACAGTACCTGGTACATGGTCTGAGGTTTCCTTGTCCATGTTCAACCTGAAGCCATGAGACTGCATGGGGTCTACAGTCAATGTTGTATACCTCTCAAGCACATACCACTGCATCACCACCTCTGCTGGGTCTGTCCTGCCCGTGGGACAGGACATATCCAGGGATGGTGATGGTGATGGTGGTGTCTGGGACACAATCATACTCATAGAATCATACCGCACGACAATGTTAGGTGTTGCTTGACTAGTCTGTGAGACAGCTCTCCCACTTTTGGCAACTTTTTCCCAGATGTTAGTAAGGAGGACTTTGTAGGGTCGACAGGACTGTTTCTGCCATTGTCTTTTCTAGTACCAAGGTCAATATTAACTGGTCTTTCCAGTTTCGTATCTTCGTTGAGACTTCGTAGCATCTGATACAAATGCGTGGCTTGCTAGGCCATTTCACAGGGCAGTTGAGAGTCAACCACATTATTGCGGGTCTGCAGTCACATGTAGGCCAAACTAGGTGAGGATGGTAGATTTCTTTCTCTGAAGGACATTAGTGAGTCAGACAGGTTTTACTGAAAATCAACAACAGTTTCATGATTATCAGTAGATTCTTAATTCCAGATTTTTTTATTGAATTCACATTCGATCACCTGCTGTGGTTGAATTCGAACCCAGGTCCCCAGAACATTAGCTGAGTTTCTGGATTACTAGTCTGGAGCTAATAGCACTAGGCTAACTGTAGTCAAAGTCAGAAGCATTGAAAGGTAGGACATCAATGGATATTTGTGAAGTCACGTGTGTTAGGGAATCAAGACTTAAATGCAGGATATTTTAGTAGTGAAGTTTTACGAAATTATGAGTAGGTGGTCTTGGTTAGTTAGAATATGGATTTGAAATTCAACTTCGGATCAAACAGAATATAGATTGCATGTTTTAGACTGAACAGCAATCAGAGAGCTAGATATAACCAAAGGCAAGGACACAAAATTGACAGAAACAAAGTTATTCTAAGTTGGAAGAAGTTGTTGTCCATTAATGATTTGATGCTGGGGGACAAGTAAATGGAGTACTAATAGAAGGATGAAACTTGGACCCACTACTATACATATGCTATGCTGTTGTTTGGGATACACAAGGAGCCTCCCTTTTAACGACAGGGTACGAGGGCAGGAAAAGGTAGCATTATTAGCTGTGCACTGGGACAGGTAGAAATTGAACCAAGTGAGAGTTGTGTTATGGAAGTAAATAGAGGAGAGGTCCTAAAGAAACATTGAATGGTCTACTATATAAAGACAGAGGAACAACTAAATAGGAGATGAAGGAGACGCGCAGGTATCAAGCTTTCAAAAGCTCTTGATCAATGGAAGATTCTATGAAAACTGAGCACCAGCTCACTGTTGACCTATTAGGGTCAGCACTATTTCCAAACACATTGTCATAGCAACAGCTATCGTGAACAAATGTAAGTAAAATACATGAAAACGTGAGCTTTTTTATTACCTCCACAAGACGGAGATAAAGAGCTTAATCATAAACCTCCTTTACTGTTCTTTTTTGACCAAGATCATTTCACCTAGCTGATGGATTCAAAAAAGTAAATAATCTTTATTCATCGACCCCCAACTTCATTCATTGGAACTAACAGTGTAAAGTGTTCCTAGTTGATCCAAACTTCTTGTTACTCATTCTGGCTTTGATTCCTTGGGGATAAAGGGAGAAATACTGTAAAGGATGTGCTCATGCTTCCTTCTGCACTCAAAATCCAAGCTAAGATCAGGAGAAACACACATAAGAACACAGAGTAACCAAGGTTCTTCTGTTACACACAAGTCACTATTGAAAAGATACCCATAAAACCATATGAAGGAGGAACAGAAGTCAGCCATTCACCCCCTCCAGCCTGGTCTGCCATTCAATAGAACCATGGCTGATCCGACATTCCTCACATTCACTTTCCTGAGTTTTCCCCATAATCCTCGATTCCCCAAAATCTACCTACTTTAGCCTTAAATATACACAAAGAATCTGCCCCCACAGCTCTTTATGGCAAGGAGTTACAAAGACTCTCAACCCTCCGAGAGAAGAAATTCCTCCTCATCTCAGTCTTAAATTGGCATTCCTTTATTCTGAGACTATGCCCTCTTCCTTGACTTTCCCATGAGGGGAAACATCTTCTCAGCAATTACCATCTAAACTCCAGTGAGTACAGTCCCAACCTGTTCAGCCTAACTCACAAGACAATTCCTCTAGACAGGGATCAGAGTGAATCTTCTCTGAAGTGCCTCCAGTGGAATAATAACTTTCCTAAATAAGGGGACCAAAACTGCTCTCAGTACTCTAGATGTGGTCTCATCAGCACCTTGTACAGTTACAGTCCCTACTCTCATACTCCAAATCCCTTGAAATAAAAGCCAACATTCTGTTAGCTCTCCTGCTGCACCTGTGTGACAACTTAATGTGATTCGTGCACAAGTAGCTCCAAGTCGCTATGGGTTGCGGCTTTCTGCATTTTTTCTCCATTTAAATGATGCTGTTCTTCTATTCTCCCTTCCAAAATGAACAATTTCACATTTTCTCACATTATACTCCATTTGACAATTTTTTGCTCATTTACTTAACCTGTAAATATCTCTCTGTAAACTGTTTATATCTCTCTCGCAACTTGGCTTTCCACCTTTTGTGTCATCTGGAAGTTTGGCTACAGTACATTCACTTTCTTCCTTAAAGTCATTAACACATATTGACAATACTTGCAGTTCCAGCAATAACCCTTACTA